TGTAGACATGTGTGATACACAAAGAACCATGTGTGATACACAATGAAGACCATTGTGTAGTAAACAATGTAACCATGTGTGATACACAATGTAGTACCCATGTGAGAACAAATGAAGACCATGTGTGATTTACACAATGTAGACCATGTGTAGTACACAATGAGTAGACATCATGTTTAGTACACACATGTAAGACCATGTGTGATACACAATGTAGACCAAGTGTAGTACACAATGTATACCATCGTTGATACACAATGTAGACCATGTGTGATAACACAAATGTTATAACCATGTGTAGTACACAATGTAGACCATGTGTAGTACACAATGTAGACCATGTGTGATACACAATGTAGACCATGTGTAGTACACAATGTAGACCATGTGTAGTACACAAGAAACCATGTGGGTGATACACATGTAGACCATGTTATACACAATGTAGACCATGTGTGAAAGCACAATGTAGACCATGTGTAGTACACAATGTAGACCATGTGTGATACACAATGTAGACCATGTGTGATACACAATGTAGACCATGTGTGATACACAATGTAGACCATGGTGTAGTACACAATGTAGACATGTGTGAAGACACAATTTAGAACCATGTTGTTAAACAACAATGTAGACCATGAGTGATACACATGTAGACCATGTGTGATACACAATGTAGACCAAGTTAGTAGCACAAATGTAGACCATGTGTAATACAGGAATGTAGAACCATGTGTGATACACAATGTAGACCATGTGTAAGACACAAAGTATACCATTTTGTAGTACCAAATGTAGACCATGTGTAGTACACCAATGAAATACCATGGTGTGATACACAATGTAGACCATTGTGATACACATGATGTAGACCATGTGGTTATTAACACAATGTAGACCATGTTGATACACAATGTAGACCAAGTGTATTATACAGCATGTAGACCCTGTGTAGTAAACAATGTAGACCATAGTGTGATACACAATGTAAGAACCATGTGTAGTACACAATGTAGACCATAGTGTGATACACAATGTAGACCATGGTTTTGTATACACATGGTGACCATGAGTGATACACAATGTAGACCATGTGTGATACACAATGTAGACCATGTGTGATACACAATGTAGACCATGTGTAGTACACAATGTAGACCATGTGTAGTACACAATGTAGACCATGTGTGATACACAATGTAGACCATGTGTAGTACACAATGTATGACCATGGTGTGATACAACAATGAATACCATGTGTGATACACAATGTAGACTGTTGTAGTACACAATGTAGACCATGTTAGTAGCACAATGTAGACCGATGTGTTATACACAAAGTAGACCAAGTGTAGTACACAATGTAAGACACATGAGAAGTACACACTGTAGACCATGTGTAGTAATCAACAATGTAGACCATGTGTGAATACACAATGTAGACCAATGTGTGATATCACAATAGTTAGACCATGGTATTACACAATGTGAAGACCATGTGTGATACACAATGTGACCTTGTGTAGAACACAATTAGACCATGTGTAGTACACAATGTAGACCATGTGTGATACACAATGTAGACCATGTGTAGTACACAATGTAGACCATGTGTGATACACAATGTAGACCATGTGTAGTAGCACAATGAAGAACCATTTGATACACAATGTTAGACCATGTGTGATACACATGTAGAACCATGTGTGATAACCAATGTAGACCATGTGTAGTACACAATGTAGACCATGTGTAGTACACAATGTAGACCATGTGTGATACACAATGTAGACCATGTGTAGTACACAATGTAGACCATGTGTGATACACAATGTAGACCATGTGTAGTACACAATGTAGACCATGTGTGATACACAATGTAGACCATGTGTGATACACAATGTAGACCATGTGTAGTACACAATGTAGACCATGTGTGATACACAATGTAGACCATGTGTGATACACAATGTAGACCATGTGTGATACACAATGTAGACCATGTGTGATACACAATGTAGACCATGTGTGATACACAATGTAGACCATGTGTAGTACACAATGTAGACCATGTGTGATACACAATGTAGACCATGTGTGATACACAATGTAGACCATGTGTGATACACAATGTAGAACCATGTGTCGTACACAATGTATAACCATGTGGGTGATGACACAATGTAGACCTGTGTGAACCACAATGTAGACCATGTGTGATACACAATGTAGACCATGTGTGATACACAATGTAGACCATGTGTGATACACAATGTAGACCATGTGTAGTACACAATGTAGACCATGTGTGATACACAATGTAGACCATGTGTGATACACAATGTAGACCATGTGTGAAACACACGTAGACCATGTGTAGTACAACAATGTTAGCCATGTGTAGTACACAATGTAATTACCATGTGTGATACACAATGTAGACCATGTGTAGTACACAATGTAGACCATGTGTAGTACACAATGTAGACCATGTGTGATACACAATGTAGACCATGTGTAGTACACAATGTAGACCATGTGAGGTACACAATGTAAGACCCATGTGTAGTACAACAATGTAACCATGTGTGTTACACAATGTAGAACCATGTGTAGTACACAATGTAGACCATGGTGGGTACACAATGTAAGAACCAATTGTCGATACACAATGTAGACCATGTGTAGGTACACAATGTATACCATGTGTGGTAAACAATGTAGACCAAGTGTGAACACCAATGTAGAGACCATGTGTGGTACACATGTAGACCATGTGTAGTACACAATGTAGACCATGTGTGATACACAATGTAGACCATGTGTGATACACAATGTAGACCATGTGTGATACACAATGTAGACCACGTGTAGTACACAATGTAGTCTATGTAGTACACAATGTAGACCATGTAGACCACGTGTAGTACACACTGTAGACCACGTGGAGTAACAACATTAAACTTGTGTTAGTTGATACACATCCTTCTCTCTCAGCAGTGGTTTCCATTTTTAGTGTTGAAATACGATAACGCTCGTACTTTTAATAATAATAATAATAATAATAATAATAATTTTACAAGTACATGTACAAGGTATACAGGCCTAGTTGACATTAATGATTATATAGAAAGCCCCTTGCTATGCAGAACATTTCGGGCACATTAGGTCAATTTTGTTCCAGGATGCGACCCACACCAGTCCACTAACACCCAGGTACCTATTTTACTGATGGGTGAACATGGGACAGCAGGTGTCTTATTAAGGAAACACGTCCTAATGTTTCTACCCGTACCGGGGCTCAATCCCCGGGCCAATGTGTGGGAGGTGAGTGCGCTAGCGATCGAGCTACGGGACATCAGTAACTGGCTTTCCCTATCTTAATCAGTAACTGGCTTTCCCTATCTTAATCAGTAACTGGCTTTCCCTATCTTAATCAGTTGTCTGGCTCCCCCTTCCCCTTACTCTCATACTTGATTAGTTTTCCTCTAACTTCCTTCACTGTCGTGGAAATCCGCAGTGTGGTGGCGACAAAAGGAACTGAGAGAGCGAAATGTCTACACACCACCTAGGCCAAGGCAGAAGTCCCAGATTCACTGCATTATTGTTGACGTTCTTGAGAGCCGAGTTAGATATCCGGATTCAGTATGTTTACGTTCTTGAGAGCTTAGTCAGGTATCCGGATTTAATTGTTTTCGTTCTTGAGCCGATTCAGATATCCGGATTCAGCATGTTTAAGTTCTTGAGAGCCGAGTCAGGTATTCGGATTCGGTATATTTCCGATTTTGAGAGCCGAGTCTTGAGTTCCAAGTCCAGTATGTTATTGTTGTTTATGATACTCAGTAAAGACGAGGTCTAGTACACATTACTGGTAATATATAACGCAAATTAATGCATAAATATCCTCAATTTTGGTGTATACACATCTAAGAGGTATTTGTCTTTGATATACATAAAGTTTTTCAATGTACACATCGAGAGGTGTGTATCGCTATACACCGAAAGGTTTGTGTGTATGTATATATATATATATATATATATATATATATATATATATATATATATATATATATATATATATATATATATTATATATATAAAGGAGGGGTGTTAATGCTGCAGTTTAAAAACTGTAGTGTAAAGCACCCTTCTGGCAAGACAGTGATGGAGTGAATGATGGTGAAAGTTTTTCTTTTTCGGCCACCCTGCCTTGGTGGGAATCGGCCAGTGTGATAATAAAATAATATATAAATATATATATATATATATATATATATATATATATATATATATATAAATTATATATATATATATATATATATAATATATATATATATATATATATATACTATGTATATATATATATATATATATATATATATACTATATATATATATATATATATATATAATATATATATATATATATATATATATATATATATATATATATATATATATATATAATATATATATATATATATAAAGGGAATGCTTAATTTAATTAGCGACAATTTTTTAATCCTTTGGAAGCGCTAAAACCGTAGGGTTCACGTAGCCCCTGGGGAAATGGAGACATTCAGGTTCGATTCAAGGAAGTGGAGCATAAGTCCAGTTCCTTGGATCAAGAGCATCCCCCCTCACCGGCATTGAGGCACCTCCCTTGTGGGAACGGGGTTTAGATTATGGGGGGGCGCTAAACCCATAGGGGTCACAGCAGCGCCTGGGGGGAAGGGGGGGAAATGTAAGGCATTCACACTTGATTCAAATTAGATCTGTGCTCCAGTTCCCTGAATTAATCATGAATACTTTCCATCCCCCCCATAGGCGCTGTATAATCCCTACGGGTTTAGGGCTCCCCATGATAATAATAAGAGACTTGATTCAAGGAACTGGATCACAGGTCCATATCCTAGGACCAAAAGCCTTTCACCAGTATCAAGGTACCCACCATGATGGTACGTGGGCCAGTGTGATTTGCCAAAAAAAAAAAAAATGTGCAATTCGTATGTAATTTTATTTATATGATACAATACACTGTATACGTCCAGTTCATAAAATAATTTTCAGAATTATTCATCAACATATCCTGCATTGAACCAAGCAGGGAAAAATCAATTATTATTTTGACCTACAGTACTACGCACTGTAGGATTTATATTCAAACACTGTTAAAAGCTGTATATGATATTCAAGGTTCTTGATATATATATTTTCTTCAGCACATGGGACTATAAAATTAAGTATATATGTATTTGCAATATATGCATGTGCACACACCTATGCGTACACATTATTATAATAAAAACCAAGCACTAAGTCCACTAAGTTCATAGAGCGCTGATGTGGTGCACACAAATAACCCGCACACAGGAGAGAGAAGCTTTTGACGATGTTTCGGTCCGACTTGGATCATTGACAAGTCACACTAACACACGAAGATGAGGGAGACAGTGCCTCTGTATTCTCTATAGGCGGTGTGTGTGTATGTGTGTGTTTTAAGGACCCATAGTCTCGGAGAAGGAAATAAATGGACTTCTGGGAGAAATTTTGTGTATTCTCCTTGCATTCATGGCTTTAAATTAAGCTTCAGATTGTGGTTTCCACTTCTGAGATAAAAAGTGGGTTTAAAACTGGAAATGGTTATAATGGTGAGCAGCATGTCCATTACGTGAACTGTGTATCTTCAAGAGAAAAGAATATGGGTCTCCTAGTCTTCGATGTCAGCGAAGGAGGTGTGGTGTTTGAGGAGCACTTGGTCTCTGAGGAACTTTTCTCTGTGTGGTTCCAGATAAAGCTCCTTCAGCATGACAAAGAGGAATGCGTCGTGACACTCAGTAGGAAAGATTATTAATGTCTTCCTCCTCTTCGATGTCAGCGAATGATGTAGGATATTTGAGGAGCACCTGGTCTCTGAGGGACTGTTCCTTGTTTTCCGTGTGGAGTTTTTTCTTCAGGATGTCGAGTGACATCTCCGTGTACTGCAGCTCCCTGTTGACGTCCGGTGGTTTGTTTACTCCTTCCTTGAACTTGTGGCCATCAGGAAGCATCTTGAAGAGCAGTTCTCTAACGTGATGGTCGTTAGAAGGGTAGGTGACCTCGTTGTCAGTGGGAGGCTGTTGGCTGCGGGATGGGTTACAGGGAGAACACGAGCAGTTGGCGATCATCTGTAGTTTCTTCGTCACTTGATAAGCGTTGCCGTACTCCTCACAGTCCAGCTGAATCTTGGGAGAGAAACAAATTCACAGATAAAGTAAAAATTCTGTGATTACTGGGTCCTGAACCGGCGCACTTGCCATTGCATGTCAGCAATTGTACAGACTCAGCTACCCAGTCCGTACAGCAGTGGATTTAGTGACAAGGACACCGGTTAGGTCTCCAATATATCTTAAACAATGAGAAAGGGTATGGTGATACCGACAAGATGTGGAAAAAGACACTTATGTACAGTTCAGGACGTTTATTAGAGGAAACGTTTCACCACGAGTGACTTCTTCAGTCATTAGGACTGAAGAAGCCACATGTGGCGAAACGTTTTCTCTAATAAATGTCTAGAACTGTTAAATAAGTGTCTTATTTCCACATTTCTTAACACAGTCTGTTACTTTTACGACATAGTGAGCTTTTCATTCCACCGTTCAATTTTGGAGTTGGACACTCGTGTAGTTTTATTCGACAAGGATCATTAATATCTTCTAGGCCAGCTTCTCAACTATTACCAACCATCTCTACTAATATCTGGTAAGACTTTTGATAATTTTTATCAAAATAAGAGACTAATTAGGAAATCAGAGGCACAAAAATGAAATATGCATAAAAGAACACCTGAGAGAGGAAGCAGCCGGAGTTTCCCAGGGCTCTGATTTGGGACCGTTATTATTTGCTTAATGTGTAAATAATGTTGAATTACGAGTATACCTGGAGGGGGTTTCGGGGTCAACGCCCCCGTGACCTGGTCCGTGACCTGGCCTCGTGGTGGATAAGGGCCTGATCAACGAGGCTGTTACTGCTGGCCACACGTAAACCGACGTATGAGCCACGGCCCCGCTGGTCAGGTACTGACTTTAGGTGCCTGTCCAGCGCCTTCCTGAAGACAACCAGGAGTCTGTTGTTAATTCCCATTATATATGCTGGGAAACAGTTAAACAGTCTTGGACCCCTGACACTTATTGTGTTATCTCTTAGCATACTTATGGCACCCGTGCTTTTCATTGGAGGGATATTGCATCTCCTGACGAGTCTTTTGCTTTCGTAGGGAGTGATTTTTGTGTGCAGATTTGGGACTAGTCCCTCTAGGAATTTCCAAATGCATATTATCATGTATTTTTTCTTGCCTGCGTTCCAGGGAGTACAAATCAAGGGACTTCCAACGTTCCCAGTAATTTAGGTGCTTTATCATACTTATACGTGCTGTGAAAGTTTTCTGTATTTTCTCAAGGTCTGAAATTTCAGGGGCCGTTAGTGTACAGCAATATTCCAACCTAAAGAGAACAAGAGATTTGAAGAGAATCATCATAGGTTTGGCATCTTTAGTTTTGAAGGTTCTCATTATCCATCCTATCATTTTCCTAGCAGATGTGAGATCCTTTGACATTATCACTCCCAAGTCCTTCATATTAGTTTTTCGCTCTATTGTGTGGTTGGAATTTGTTTTATACTCGGACATAGTTTTAATTTCATGGAGTTTTCCATAGCGGAGTAATTGAAATTTGTCATCATTGAACTTCTTATTGTTTCTGTGGTTCATTTAAAGATTTGGTTGACGTCCGCTTGGAGATTTGCAGTGTCTTTGACAGGTGACACTGTCATGCAAATTCGGGTGTCATATGCAAAGAAGGACACGGTGCTGTTGCTTACATCTCTGTCTATGTCAGATATGAGGATGAGGAACAGGATGGGAGCGAGTACTGTGCCTTGTGGAACAGAACTTTTCACTGTAACCGCCTCTGACTTTACGCTGTTTACCATTACTCTTTGTGTTCAATTTGTTAGGAAGTTATAGATCCATCTACCAACTTTTCCTCTTATTCCTTTGTCACGCATTCTGTGTGCAATTACACCATGATCACACTTGTCGATGGCTTTCGCATACTACAAATGGTAACATAATTATAACTTATTGCTGTCCAGTGGTATTCTCTTCCACTTTTGTACCATGGTCCCATAGTGCTTACTCTCTTTAACTTGCCGTGGTACAGTAGTACTCACTCCAACTCAACATGGTCCAGTAGTACTCCCTCCAACTCAACATGGTCCGGTAGTACTCCCTCCAACTCATCATGGTCCAGTAGTACTCCCCTCTCTCGTACTTTTCGTGGTCCCTCCCTCCTCGCTGCTACTTCCTGTGGCCAAGTAGTACTTTCTCGCTCCTTGCTACTTACCCTGGGCCTTTAGTACTACCACCTTCCCTCCTCCTAGCTACTTACTATGGTCTACTGGTGCTCCCTCCCGCTGCTATTTACTGAGTTCCAGTAGAACTTCCTACCTTCCCCTGCTACTTACTGTGCTCCAGTGGAAATTTGAAGCCTGGCAGGAATCACAATAGTCTAGGAGCTCATCACCAGGTGTCTCAGGCTCAGTCTGTGGCACGGTGTAGCTGAAGCAGGTGCCCACACACACGTGGTTCTCCATCTCCTGTCAACACCAACAATTTTTTATGTGAAATGTGAAAGCCGTGTGTGTGAAATAGTCATTCATAGCCAGTGAAGTTGGGAATAACAAGAGACGTAGAGAACTGAAGTTCATCTACTGACCCACACTCACTGAGGCAAAAAATAATCCGCTGATGACTAAGACACGTGTGCAGCTGCTGGGTACCTCCATTGTTGAAACTTTTCGCCTAAACAGTAGTCTTCTTCAGTAAAGTACAGAGGCAGCAGGTGTAGTAGTGGAATGAAGATGATGTAATCAGTCCATCAACCTTGGAGAAATAGTATTTGAGGTGGTCAGTCCCTCAGGCTGAGGGATTGACCACCTCAAATCTCTAAGGTTGATAGACTGATTACATCTTCATTCCACTACTACACCTGCTGCCTCTGTATCTGACTGAAGAAGACTACTGTATAGGAGAAACATTTCATCAAAAAATATACCCAAATGTTACACATGTGTCTTAATCATCAACTTCTCGGTATTTTATACAATTTTTAATAAATAATCCGCTGACTGGACATATAAGGTGACATCTCTACTGTACAAGACTTCTCTTGTTTTATTACTTGTATTGTTCCTTGATAATGTGACATCATTGAAGAACTTTAAATAATAAAACTTTTCAGTGGTTATATTAAGATATCATCTCTTACCTATGATCTTATTTCTTATACATATATTTATTGTAAGAAGGAAGCTGGGATACCCACCTTGAAGGTGCACTGGGCATGAGTGGGACATATTGATGGCTGGGATACCCACCTTGAAGGTGCACTGGGCATGAGTGGGACATATTGATGGCTGGGATACCCACCTTGAAGGTGCACTGGGCATGAGTGGGACATATTGATGGCTGGGATACCCACCTTGAAGGTGCACTGGGCATGAGTGGGACATATTGATGGCTGGGATACCCACCTTGAAGGTGCACTGGGCATGAGTGGGACATATTGTTGGCTGGACTACCCACCTTGGAGGTGCACTGGGCATGAGTGGGACATATTGATGGCTGGGATACCCACCTTGAAGGTGCACTGGGCATGAGTGGGACATATTGATGGCTGGGATACCCACCTTGAAGGTGCACTGGGCATGAGTGGGACATATTGATGGCTGGGATACCCACCTTGAAGGTGCACTGGGCATGAGTGGGACATATTGATGGCTGGGATACCCACCTTGAAGGTGCACTGGGCATGAGTGGGACATATTGATGGCTGGGATACCCACCTTGAAGGTGCACTGGGCATGAGTGGGACATATTGATGGCTGGGATACCCACCTTGAAGGTGCACTGGGCATGAGTGGGACATATTGTTGGCTGGACTACCCACCTTGGAGGTGCACTGGGCATGAGTGGGACATATTGTTGGCTGGACTACCCACCTTGGAGGTGCACTGGGCATGAGTGGGACATATTGTTGGCTGGACTACCCACCTTGGAGGTGCACTGGGCATGAGTGACGATCTGGCGAATTGGTTTAAGCTCGCAGAGAGAGTGTTGTTGAGGGTTGAGCATCAGATTGTGAACCTGTGGGTGAGAGCAGAGTTAAACAGTTGCAGGAGAACAGTTCAACCTACCTAAGTTCTCCCCGAAATGCCTAGGCATGCTTGTGGCCGTCTTTGTAATGAATATTTTATATGCAAACCACACATTGTGATTAATATTTTAAAATATGGAAATCCCACATTGTAATCTTTACAGAGAAATAGACATTTCAATTTCAATACAGCACTTTGGTGGTGGTGGAGAGTGAGGGTAGAATCATTCACTCGACTACACATATTCCAAGTGCGCTCTAATAGCGTTTAAACCGGTTTCACCTCAAGAGAAGGTTTTAAGTATTCTATGATCCCGTAGATGTTTTCTCCTCGTTTTGCTAGGATTATTAAAGTAGACTAAAGGACCCCAATGGAAATAGGTCAATTTGTCTGACTTTTTTGGGTTATCCCAGGTTGTGTATACATATGCTGGTATGTACGATAACTTATGTAACTTTATTTGTGTATACCTGAATAAAGTTACTAGGGTTAGCTACCCTAGAAAGAAGCGACTGACTGGTCGAAACGTCGTGAACAAAGGATCGGATTATTATGCATTTGTGTGTGTTTCCAACATGTCAGTATTTCATACTATTTCTCTGCACAATTCAGCAAATCCATGTCTTATTTCCTCTATGGTCCTTTTAATCCTCTCCTCCGGGATGCGACCCACACCAGTCGCCTAACACCCAGGTACCTACTAACTGCTTGCTGAACAATAACAGCAGCAAGTATAAGGACACATGCTTAATGTTTTCGCTCATCCGAAGATCGAAATCCGGTGCGTCACAGTGTGAGCTGAAGCCGCTGCCAAGCGAGACACGAGCCCCCCTGAAAATAAGTCAAGGACCCTAATGGAAATAAGTCACCTTTGACTTTTTGGGTTATTATAGGTAACGTACATATATGTTGCTATGTATGGTGGCTAAAGTGAGTGTCTGGGTTCGATTCCCAGAGAGGGTAGAACATTGGGCGTGTTTCTTTACACCGGTTGTCTATGTTCACCCATCAGTAAAATGGGTACCTGGGTGTTAGTGGACTGGTGTGGGTCGCATCCTTGACAAAACTGACCTAATTTGCAGGAAATGCTCAGCATAACAAGCGGCTTTCTATATAGTAGTATGTCATTGATGTCAGCTAGACCTGTATACATGTACTTGTAGTAAATAAAGATATTATTATTATTATTATTATTATTATTATTATTATTACTGTGCAGGTTATTTATGTATTACTTACAGGCACGTGTGTGTATAATAACATTCTGTAGTTACACCTTGAATCTATTTTAACGTTTTCTTCACTGCCGGATTTTATTGATCTAAAAGTCGCTCACGTTTTCTTTCTTTCTTTACTTAAAGAAAAACGGCGCGAAAACGCCCATTTTGCAGAATTAAGAAATAAATGTGTAAATGTTAACAAAAAAAAAAAAAAAAAAGTTGTGGTATACTGAAAAAATGACTTTTTTTTTTAGGAAATATATTAGAAAAACATTTATCTGTGGAGATTCATGAAGATTTACATAGGAGAAAGAAGCTTATGACATTTCGGTCCCACTTCGACCATTAACAAGTCACAAGTGGGACGGAAACGTCGTCAGAAGTTCCTCCTATGTGCGGGTTATTTGTGTGTTGTTCCAGTCACGGTATTGTGACTGGGTTCTTTTATGAGCATACAGAATTTATATACAGGAAACACGATAATTTACTAGAAATCCAGGATAAACTTTGACGAAAAGTGACAAACCTGTCACACACGATATATACACTGTGAGGAGCATGTCTCTCAGTGTATATATGTTAAGAACGTACCTTAATCATTCTTTAAGAATTATAGGTTTTCTTTGATTGGTGATGCACATGTGACATAAAGCCTTAAATAAGTAAGTTTATTTAGGCAGAGGTAAACATAATTACAATTATCATACATAGTGTAAATTACCTAGGATAACCCAAAAAAAGTAAAATTGGCCTTTTTTTTCCACTGGGGCCTTAATAACCTCGTGTAGTCGATAGGGTTTAAACCAACCATCACTTAAAAGCATACTGTGACGATACTACCCTGTGGTCTTCAGAGGGTCGGCGATGGTGGAGCCTGATAACGGCGGGGTCGGAGTCGGAATGATCAGAGCGGTGGTGGTGAATCCGGGTGACCGCGGCGTCGGGGTCGATAAGATCCGGCGGTGGGAAAACATCATTAATTCCCGACACCACCGCCGCTACCATCACCACCATAACCGGCAGCAGCGACCACATCTGCGGAGGGGAGGAGGATGAGAAGACCCTGTCAGTGAGGGTGATGCAAGAAGCATCGTGATAAAACCAACGTTTTCTCACACTGGTGAATTTACAGGCTGTTATCCTACCCCAGGTTATTTACAGGCTAAGAAGAGTTACCTCAGCTTATTTATAGGCTAAGGACTGTTCCTTACATCAGCTTATTAAAAAATCCAGCACTACCTAAGTGATACCATCCACCCCGTTTTCCAGGATGCGACCACAAGTCTGCTAACAGACAGGTACCTATTTACTGCTAGGTAAACAGGGGCAACATGTGTAGGGATATATGCCTAACAATCGAACCATGTTCCCTCGATTGTGAGATGTAGGCACTATCACTTTAATAAGACTAATAGTGATATTAATGACAATGCACAAGCTGGAAATGAAATCATGACGCCTCTGTCAGTCAAATGTTATTATCAAGTCACGGTCTTGGTAATGGTCCACGACGAAATGAAATGACCCGACTGGGTAATTTCCGCCTGTTTATTGCTGCAGGTGCGCAATAAACAAATAAATCTTGCGCTAATTTTCTTTTTTTTTTCAACAAGTCGGCCGTCTCCCACCGAGGCAGGTGGCCCAAAAAAAGAAAGAAAATCCCCCAAAAAGAAAATACTTTCATTATCATTCAACACTTTCACCTCACTTAAATATAATCACTGTGACTCAAGAAATCGTAATGACACGATTGCAAACAAACCATACCCCCGGCCGGGATTAAACCCGCGACGGGCTGGAGTTTTGAGACTCTATGACCGCGGGTTCAATCCCGGCCGGGGGTATGGTTTGATAATCACTGTCTTCGCAGAGGCGCTCAGATGCGACAGTTTAGAAGTGTCTCCAAACTGTCAATATCCCAGACTATCCTTTAAAGTACAGGCATTTTACTTCCCATTTCCATTTTTTTCCATCTGCCTTCATTTAAATTTTCGGAGTTTCGAATTGTTCCCGTAACAAGAGTGTGACTATCTTTTTTTTTTGTGATACTAACAGCATATCATTGCTTATAAGAATAATGATTACAACTGAATTGCAAAGAATCCAACAGAACATAGCACCACCAGTGCCTAGCCTGGTAGCTCATTGGTAGCACCTAAAGCTCACAACCTATGGTCCCGGGTTTAATCTTGGGACAGGTGGGACATATATATGGGCAAGTTTCCTAATACCTGCTGCCCTGTCAGCCTATGAATCTTATCCTCTTTAAGGATAATTCAGTCTTCTTGGGAAAATACTAAACCCGTAGGACTGGGAAGGAAGTATTTCAATTTGATGTAAGGTATTATTAAAAAAATATATGAACGTAATTATATCAATAATAACAGTAATAATAATATTGACAATAATTTTAATTATAATAAGAATTAATAAAAAATGAGATTTACTCCAACAGGAACAAACAAATAAATTACATTCAAAGTTAAATTCCGTAAATATTTTCCAAAACAAGTCCTGAAGAATTAGTATAGAAAATGAGAATCTTTTGGTCACGTAATTTTTTACTTGTAAATAAACCATGTAAAAATGGTGACGCGATAGTGAGGGGGGGGGGGGATGAGTTAGGGAATGACAGCTGCGGTAAGAGAAGAGATAATCTGAATAAAACACTCGTCTGTCTGTTTGTCTGCATGTTGATAACATGTGCATTAGAGAGTCACACTTCACTTCACTCTGGGATAAACACACACTGAAAATGATGAAGCAAGAACAGAACAGAAGGTGCATGCCATGAGGGGCAGGTACACCAATACTCAACGAGGGGACAAAAAGGAAAGGAGTTAAGTCCTATATTGAGCCGTGACTGGGAGGGTAGGTAGAGAAGCTGATAGAGGCACGACCAGGTCACCGGGAGATCCAGGTTATGAGAAGAGAAGCGGCAATGGCTATGTTTAAATGGGACCCAGAGATGTGGAGGGAAAAGCAATGGGAAGAGGAGAGGGAAAGGTCAGTTTTTATTCATGGGATTAAACAGGAGAAGAGTACATGACTGAGCTGATAAATTTTCAAAGAATTGGGGGATACTCGAGGGGAAGAAATCGGCCAGTCAAACTGATTTTCAAGACAGAAATGGTGTGGAACAGGATCCTGCAGCAGAAACCACGGCTAAAGGCAACTGCAAAATACCAGAGGATGTACCTAGATATTAACAGAATAAGAACAGAACGACAGAAACTGAGAGGATACAAAGACAAAAGGGGCAAGAAGGAAAGACATGGCTCGAGTCAGAAAGGGACAACCAGAATAAAGGAGGAGCAGCAAGTGGAACCACCCACAGGACCCTGCAACCAAACATTTATCCCAAAACAACCACACTCCACAATCACAGACCCCACCCTACACAGAAGATTCCCATAGCACCTTGCCAGGTCTCCCACTCCCCTAGCCCTCCAAAAACCCCAGAATACAGTGTTGGAAAAGAAGCTGAAGTTATGGTACACCAACGAAGATGAAATAACGAATAAGTGTGATGAGTGGCATGAAAGAATCACAGAGGAATGATAACAGATGCCATCTTTATAACTGGATATCAGATCAGACCCCACCTTATACAGTAGACTCCCATGGCACCTTGCCAGGTCTCCTACTCCCCGAGCCCCCACAAATCCCCCAGAATACAATGTTGGATAGGACGCTAAAGGTATGGTACACCAATGCAAATGGGATAACGAATAAGTGTGAGGAGTGGCATGAAAGAATCACAGAAGCGTCACCAGACATTATAGCACTCACGAACTCCAAGCTCACAGGAATGGTAACGGATGCCATCTTTCCAACTGGATATCAGATCCTGAAGAAGGATAGAGGGAATAGAGGGGGTGGAGGAGTTGCACTGCTCATCAAAAACCAGTAGAGTTTTCAGGTGTTGGAAGGATAGGGACAGTAGAGAAGCACAGGACTACATAGTAGGAAAACTTCAGACTGGGTGTCCTGAGGTGGTGATTGCAGTGATGTATAACCCACCACAGAATAGCAGGAGGCCAAGACAAGAATATGAGAACCACAGAGCAATAGGTGATGCAATAGCTGAGGTGGACAGAAGGGCCCATGAGGGCAGGTCAGAGTTACTAGTTGTGGGTGACTTCAATCAAAAGGAAATTGACTGGGAAAGTCTGGAGCTAAACGGGAGACCAGAAATGTGGAGGGCTAAGATGATGGAGGTGGTACTGGAAAACCTTATGCATCAACACGTTAGGGACACTACCAGAGAGAGAGAGAGAGAGGAGAGAGAGAGAGAGAGAGAGAGAGAGAGAGAGAGAGAGAGAGAGGAGAGAGGAGAGAGAGATAGAGAGAGAGGGAGAGAAAGAGGGAGAGAGGGAGAGAGAGAGAGAGAGAGAGAGAGAGAGAGAGAGAGAGAGAGAGAGAGAGAGAGAGAGAGAGAGAGAGAGAGAGAGAGAGAGAGAGAGAGAGAGAGAGAGAGAGGATGAACCAGCAAGACTGGACCTCATATTCTCCTTGAGTAGGTCAGACATTGAGGACATCACATATGAAAGGCCCCTTGGAGTTAGTGATCACGTGGTCCTGAGCTTCTAATACATAGTAGAGTTATAAGTGGAAAGGGAAGCAGGAAGAGTAGGGCGAGAGATGCTAAACTACAAAAGAGTGGACTACACAGACATAAGAAATTTCCTGCACAAGGTTTAGTGGGAAAGAGAACTAGTGTGAAAATCAGTAAATGAAATGATGGAATATGTGACAACAAAATGAAATGAGACAGAGGAGAGGTTCGTACTCAAGGGCAACAAAAAATAATGGGAAGACTAGAACAAGCCCTTTGTTCATCCAAAGGTGTAGAGAGGCCAAAACTAAGTGTGCTAGAGAATGGAAAAAGAAGAGAAGACAAAGGACCAAGGAAAATAAGATTAGTCAAAGAGCCAGAAACGAATATGCACAGATAAAAACGGAGGCCCAGCGGCAATGTGTCATAGCATCGAAAGCCAAGTCTGACCTGAAGCTGTTGTACAGCCACATCAGGAGGAAAACAAGTCAAAAACCAGGTAATCAAGCTGAGGAAGGAAGGAGACGAGATCGCAAGAAACGACTGAGAAGTATGTGAAGAGCTCAACATGAAATTTAAGAAAGTATTTCCAGTGGAGACAGACAGGACTCCAGAAAGCCCTAGTGGTGGGATACAACAAGTGCTGGACACAATACACACAACCAAGGGGGCTGCTAAGTGAACTAGATACCTCAAACGCGGTGAGACCAGACATCTCTCCGTGGGCTCTGAGAGAAAGAGCAGAGGCGCTGTGTGTGTCACTAACAACAATCTTCAACACATCTATCGGTAAAGGATGACTGCCTGAGGTATGGAAGACAGCATATATAGTATGCAAAGTCACGGAGAAGATTACCATGAAAAGAGTGGTGGAGCACCTAGAAAGGAATGAGCTTATACACGACAACCAGCACGGTTTCAGGGAAGAGAAACCCTGTGTCACAAACCTACTGGAGTTTTACGACAAAGTGACGGAAGTAAGACAACAAAGAGGGGATGGCGGTGTAGATTGCATTTTCTTGGACTGTAAGAAGGTTTTTTTCAACACAGTTCTACATAAGAGATTAGTGCAAAAGCTAGAGGATCGGGCGGGTATAACAGGAAAGGCACTGAAATGAATCAGGAAGGCAACAACGCGTCATGGTACGTAACGAGGTGTCAGAGTGGGCGCCTGTGACGAGCAGGGTTCCAAAGGGTCAGTCCTAGGACAGGTGCTGTTTCTGGTATATGTGAATGACATGACGAAAGGGATAGATTCAGAAGTGTCCGCGTTTTCAGAGGATGTGAAGCTACTGAGGAGATTTCAGTCAGATGAGGATCAGGCAAGACTACAAAGGTATCTTGACAGGCTGCAAGCCTGGTCCAGCAACTGGCTCCTGGAGTTGAATCAAACCAAGTGCAAAGTCATGAAGTTTGGGGAAGGTCAAAAAAGACCGCAGACAGAGTACAGGCTAAGGGGCCAAAGACTGCGAACCTC